GGATGTGGGGTAGGGGGTCTGTGGGGTAGGGGGTATGGGGAGTGGGGTTTGGGGTGTGGGGTGTGGGGTATGGGGGATGGAGGGGGTGGGGTATGGGGTGTGGGATGGGGGGTGCGGGGGATGGGGTGTGGGGTGGGGTATGGGGGATGGAGGGGGTGGGGTATGGGGTGTGGGGTGGGGTGTGGGGTGTGGGGTATGGGGGGTGTGGGGGGGGTGGGGTATGGGGGGTGGGGTAGGGGGTCTGTGGGGTAGGGGGTATGGGGGGTGGGGGGGGTGGAGGGTTTGGGGGGTATGGGGGGTGGGGTGTGGGGGGTGGATATGGGGTCTGTGGGATAGGGGGTATGGGGGGTGTGGGGGGAGGGGTATGGGATGTGGGGTAGGGGGTCTGTGGGGTAGGGGGTATGGGGGGTGGGGTTTGGGGTGTGGGGTTTGGGGGGTGGGGTACGAGGTCTGTAGGGTAGGGGGTCTGTGTGGTTTGGGGTGTGGGGTTTGGGGGGTGGAGGTCTGTAGGGTAGGGGGTCTGTGGGGTGTGGGGGGTGGGGGGTGGGGTGAGGGGGGTGTGGGGGGTGGGGGGTGGGGTGGGGGGTGTGTGGTTTGGGGTGTGGGGTATGGGGGGTGGGGTAGGGCGTCCTTGGAGTAGGGGGTATGGGGGGTGAGGTTTGGGGGGTGGGGGGTGGGATGGGGGGTGTGGGGTGTGTGGGGGGAGGGGTATGGGATGTGGATTGTAGGGTGTGGGGTGGGGTGTGGGGTATGGGGGATGTGGGGGGTGGGGGGTGTGGGGGGTGGGGTATGGGGTATGGGGTGTGTGGTATGGGGTATATGGGGTATGGGATTGGGATATGGGGTATGGGGTATGGGGTATGGGATGTGGGATATGAGGTATGGGGTATGGGGTACAGGATATGGGATGTATAGGGTGTGGGATGTGGGATACAGGATATGGGGTACGGGATATGGGATGTGGGGCGCGCGGGCCCCTCACTTGTTGCTGGCTTTGATGAGCTCCCCGTTCTTGTACCACTTGAGGGGCAGGTCGGGGTTGCTGAGCTCCACCTGCAGCCGGATCTTCTTGCCCTTGTCCACCTGGTACGCGGGGTCCAGCTTCCGCACGAACGCTATGGGGCGGGGGGACGCGGATAGGGGTCAACGCCCCCCATGGGTCGCTATGGGTCCCTATAGGTCCCTGTGGGTCCCTGTGGATCCCTATGGGTCCCTATGGGCCCTCTTCCAGGTTTACAGCCCTATTCCCCATCCCATGTCCTCCCTTGATCCCACCTCAGCTCTTCTTGCCCTCCACCTTCATCTCCTTCCCCATCCCATTCCCCATTCCCAGCCCCACAGACCCCTAAATCCCCCTTCCCCCCCATATCCCATTCCCCATCCCATTCCCCATTCCCACCCCATAGACACCTAAATCCCCCTTCCTCCCCTCATTCCCATACCCCCCCCCATTCCCATCCCCACCCCACAGACTCCCCCCATATCCCCATATCCCATTCCCCATCCCATTCCCCATTCCCACCCCATAGACCCCTAAATCCCCCTTCCCTCCCCATATCCCCTTCCCCATCCCCTTCCCCATCCCCTTCCCCACCCCCTTCCCCATCCCCTTCCCCATCCCATTCCCCATTCCCACCCCCATAGACCCCTAAATCCCCCTTCCCTCCCCATATCCCCTTCCCCATCCCCTTCCCCACCCCCTTCCCCATTCCCACCCCATTCCCTACCCTCGCTCTTCTTGGGCTCGGCGGTGACCTTCTTGAGGCGCCGGAGCATGCCGCGCAGGTCGGTGATGCCGTACTGGAAGGCGATGCGTTCGTACTCGCTCTTCTTGGTGACCCCCTTGAGGAGCTCCCAGATCTCCGGGGGGAAGCCGTCGTCGTCGTCCTTCTTCTTCTTCTTCTCCTCCACCTGCACCTCCCTGGAGCACCCATTGGGCACCCGTTGAGTGCTCGTTGAGTGCTCGTTGAGTGCCCGTTGAGCGCCCGTTGAGCGCCCGTTGAGTGTTCGTTGAGCACCCATTGGGCACCCGTTGAGTGCTCGTTGAGGGCCCGTTGAGCGCCCATTGAGGGCCCGTTGAGTGCCCGTTGAGTGCTCGTTGAGCACCCATTGAGTGCTCGTTGAGTGCTCGTTGAGCGCCCGTTGAGCGCCCGTTGAGTGCTCGTTGAGTGCCCATTGAGGGCCCATTGAGCACCCGTTGAGTGCCCATTGAGCGCCCGCTGAGTGCCCATTGAGCACCCATTGAGAACCCGTTGAGCACCCATTGAGCGCCCGTTGAGTGCCCATTGAGTGCTCGTTGAGCGCCCATTGAGTGCCTGTTGAGCACCCACTGAGCACCCATTGGGCACCCGTTGAGTGCTCATTGAGCGCTCGTTGAGTGCCCATTGAGAACCCATTGAGTGCACATTGAGCATCCACTGAGTGCCCATTGAGCGCCCATTGAGCACCCGTTGAGTACCCATTGAGTGCCCATTGAGCGATTATTGAGCTCCCATTGAGCGCCCATTGAGCACCCTTTGAGCGACCATTGAGTGCCCATTGAGCACCCATTGAGTGCCTGTTGAGTGCCCATGGAGCACCCATTGAGTGCCCATTGAGCACCCATTGAGCACCCATTGAGTGCCTGTTGAGCATCCATTGAGGGCCCATTGTACACCCATTGAGCACCCATTGCACATCCATTGTGCACCCTTTGCGCAACCATTAGCACCCACTGAGCACCCATCGAGCACCCATCGGCATCCACTGAGCACCCACTGAGCACCCATTAGCACCCATTGAGCACCCATCGGCATCCACTGAGCACCCACTGAGCACCCATTAGCACCCATTGAGCACCCATCAGCACCCACTGAGCACCCATTAGCACCCATTGAGCACCCATCGAGCACCCATCGGCATCCACTGAGCACCCATTGCACCCATTGGCACCCATTGCGCGCTCACCTCTTCTTCAGCAGCCCGCTGAAGTCCAGCTCTCCTGCGGTGTCATCCTTGGCATCGCCCCTGGGGGGGGAAAGGAAATGGGGGCAATGGGGGGGGGGGGAGGTCCTAGGGGTGCTTTGGGGGCAATGGGGGGAGCAGTGGGGGGGGGCTCATAGGGGGTGTCCCCCCACTCACGTCCTCTTGAAGGCCTGCAGGACGTTGCCATCCTCACTGGAGCGGGTGGCTGTGGGGACAGGAGGGTGAGACCCCCCCCCATGACCCCCATTGACCCCCATGTCCCAGTGCCCCCCTCAATGTGACCCCCATGTCCCCACTGAGCCTCTCATGGGGAGAATCAATGAGGTTGGGGGGTGGTGTCTGGGGAGCATTCATCTAAGGGGGACAATGGGGGTCCCAATGGGGTGATGGGGGGGGGTCAATGTGGTCAACGGGGTTCAATGGGTAGCTGGGGGGGTCAATGGGGTCCAATGATGTTCAATGGGTCGCGGGGGCGTCAATGGGGTTCAATGGGTCCTTGGGGGGGTCAATGGGGTCCAATGGATCCCTGGGGGTATCAATGGGGTCCAATGGGGTTCAGTGGGTCCCTGGGGGGTCAATGGGGTTCAATGATGTAAAAGGGGGTCCAACGGGGTTTTATGGGGTCCAATGGGGTTCAATGGGGATCAATTGGGTCCAATGGGGTTCAGTGGGGATCAATGGGGATCAATGGGGTTCAGTGGGGATCAATGGGGTTCAATGGGGCTCAATGGGGGTCAATGGGGTTCAATGGGGTTCAATGGGTTTCAATGGTGTTCAATGGGGTTCAATGGGGATCAATGGGGTTCAATGGGGGTCAATGGGGTTCAATGGGGATCAATGGGGGTCAATGGGGTTCAATGGGGATCAATGGGGTTCAATGGGGATCAATGGTGTTCAATGGTGTTCAATGGGGATCAATGGGGTTCAGTGGGTCCCGGGGGGGCGCGGACCCTCGATGTCGATGTTGAAGGAGCACGAGTCCTTCTTGTCCTTGGCCGTCACCTCGCAGCGGTAATCGCCGCGGTCGCCCAGCACCACCTTGGAGATGAGCAGCTCGAAGGTGTGCTCCTGGAGCAGGGATACGGATAGGGGATGGATGGGGGGAGATTATGGGATGGATGGGGTGTGGGGTGTGGGATATGGGGTGTGGGATGTGGGGTGTGGGATATGGGGTATGGGATGTGGGGTATGGGGTGTGGGGTATCGGGTGTGGGGTGTGGGGTGTGGGGTATGGGGTGTGGGGTATGGGTGTGGGGTGTGCACCACCTGTGGAGATGAGCAGGTATGGTGTGTGTGGGGTGTGGGGTATGGGGTGTGGGATATATGGGATGTGTGGGTTGTGGGGTGTGGGATATGGGGTGTGGGATGTGGGGTGTGGGATATGGGGTGGGATATGGGGTGGGGGATGTGGGGTGTGGGATGTGGGGTATGGGATGTGGGGCGTGGGGTATGGGATGTGGGGTGTGGGGTATGGGATGCGAGGTATGGGGTATGGGATATATGGGATATGGGGTATGGGGTATGGGGTCTATGGGATGTGGGGTATGGGATATGGAGTATGGGGTATATGGGATGTGGAATATGGGGTATGGGTAATGGATATGGGATGTATGGGGTATGGGGTATGGGATATGGCATATGGGGTACATGGGAGATGCGATAAGGGGTATATGGGGTATGGGATATGGGATATGGGCTGTAAGGGGTATGGGGTATTGATATGGGGTGTATAGGGTATGGGTAATGGTTATGGGATGTATGGGATATGGGGTATGGATATGGGGTGTATAGGGTATGGGTAATGGTTATGGGATGTATGGGGTATGTGATATGGGGTGTATAGGGTATGACTAATGGTTATGGGCTCTATGGGGTGCGGGCCCTATGGGGCGCCGGCCGTGGGCCTCTATGGGGCTCCCACCTTGCTCTCCTTGTCCATGCTCTCCTTGAACTGGAAGCGGGCCCCGCTCTTGCTGCCCAGCTCCAGCCACTTCCCCTTGAACCATTTGACGCTGGGCTTGGAGGGCAGCTGGGACCCGGCCACGCGCGCCACCACCCGCACGTCCTGGCCTGGACACGGCACCCAACGGCACCCAATGGCACCCAACGGCACCCAATGGCACCCAATGGAACCCAACGGCACCCAATGAAACCCAATGGAACCCAACGGCACCCAATGGCACCCAATGGCACCCAACGGCACCCAATGGAACCCAATGGAACCCAACGGCACCCAATGAAACCCAATGGAACCCAACGGCACCCAATGAAACCCAATGGCACTCAATGGAACCCAACGGCACCCAATGGAACCCAACGGCACCCAATGAAACCCAATGGAACCCAACGGCACCCAATGGAACCCAAGGGAACCCAATGGCACCCAATGAAACCCAATGGCACCCAATGGAACCCAATGGCACCCAATGGAATCCACTGGAACCCAATGGCACCCAATGGAACCCAATGCAACCCAACGGCACCCAATGGCAACAAATGGCACCCAACGGCACCCAATGGTACCCAGGGGGACCCAGCAGCACCCAGTGGTACCCAGTGGTACCCAGGGGTACCTACTGGTACCTATTGGTACCCATTGGCCCCTATTGACATCTATTGGCACCCACTGGCACCTATTGGCACCCACTGACATCTATTGGCACCCACTGGCACCCATTGACATCTATTGGCACCCATTAGCACCCACTGGTACCTATTGGTATCTATTGGTGCCTATTGGCACCCATTGACATCTATCGGCACCTATCGGCACCTATTAGCTCCTATCAATACCTATTGGCATCTATTGGCAACTATTGGCACCTATTGGCGCCTATGGGTGCCCATTGGCTCCTACTGCCACCTATCGGCACCCATTGCTACTGACACCTATTGCACTTATCAGCACCTATCGGCACCTATTGGTACTGACATCTATCGGCCCCTATCGGCACCCATTGGTACTGACACCTATTGACATCTATCGGCACCTATCAGTAATGACATCTATCGACATCTATTGGCACATCTATTGACATCTATTGGCACCTATTGGCATCTATTGACATCTATTGACATCTATTGACATCTATCGGCACCTATTGCCACCTATTGACATCTATCGGCACCTACTGACACCTATTGACATCTATTGACATCTATTGGCACCTATTGGTACTGACACCGATTGACATCTATCGGCACCTATTGACACCTACTGACATCTATCGGCACCTATTGGCATCTATTGACATCTATCGGCACGTATTAACATCTATTGACACCTATTGACATCTATTGGCACCTATTGACATCTATCGGCACCTATTGACATCTATTGACATCTATCGACACTTATTGACATCTATTGACATCTATCGGCACCTATTGACACTTATTGACATCTATCAGCACCTACTGGCATCTATTGACATCTATTGGCATCTATTGGCATCTATCGGCACCTATTGACACCTATTGACATCTATTGACATCTATTGGCACCTATTGACATCTATTGGCACCTATTGACATCTATTGACATCTATCGGCACCTATTGACATCTATCGGCACCTATTGACATCTATTGACATCTATCGGCACTTATTGACATCTATTGACATCTATCGGCACCTATTGACACCTATTGACATCTATCGGCACTTATTGACATCTATTGACATCTATCGGCACTTATTGACATCTATTGACATCTATTGGCACCTATTGGCATCTATTGAAATCTATTGACATCTATCAGCACCTATTGACACCTATTGACATCTATCGGCACTTATTGACATATATCAGCACCTATTGGCATCTATTGGCACCCCCAGACCCACAGTGACCCCCCCATAGGACCCCTCTGCCCCCTCCAGGACCCACTGAGCCCCCCACCTTCCCCCTTTAGAACCCACCCCAAGGTCCCATTGACCCCCCCTGCTTTCATCCCCATAGGATCCCATAGATCCCCCCCCAGCCCCATAGATCCCCCCCAGCCCCATAGATCCCCCCCCTCACCGCACTGCACCAGCACGCTCTGGGGTTTGCTGATGAAGAGCCCATCGGGGTCACGTGGCTCCGGGGGGTGAATCTCATCTGGGGGGGGATGGGGGGGAGCAGAAGGGGTCATGGGGGGTCATGGGGGGGGGCATTGGGGTCATGGGGGGGGGCATTGGGGTCATGGGGGGGGGCAGACACGCACCCAATGGGTCATCAGCGGCCTCTGCAATGAGATGGGGTTAAAGGGGGTTAAGGGGGGACCCCAGCACCCACTGACACCCCAGCACCCATTGACCTCCCCATAGCACCCATTGGCCTCCCATAGCACCCATTGCACCCATTGACCCCCCCCCATAGCACCCATTGGCACCCATAGCACCTATTGACCCCCCCAGCACCCATTGACACCCATAGCACCCATTGACCCCATGGCACCCATTGACCCCATAGCACCCATTGACCCCATAGCACCCATTGACCCCATAGCACCCATAGCACCCATAGCACCCATTGACCCCATAGCACCCATTGACACCCCCCAGCACCCATTGACCCCCACATAGCACCCACTGCCCCCCCATAGCACCCACTGCCCCCCCAGCACCCATTGCCCCCCCATAGCACCCATTGAACCCCATAGCACCCATTGCCCCCCCATAGCACCCACTGCCCCCCCCAGCACCCATTGACCCCCATAGCACCCATTGACCCCCATAGCACCCACTGACCTTCCCAGCACCCACTGACCCCCCCCCAGCACCCATTGCCCCCCCATAGCACCCATTGAACCCCATAGCACCCACTGACCCCCATAGCACCCACTGCCCCCCCCCAGCACCCATTGCCCCCCCATAGCACCCATTGAACCCCATAGCACCCATCTGCCCCCCCCCCCAGCACCCACTGCCCCCCCATAGCACCCACAGCCCCCCCCAGCACCCATTGACCCCCATAGCACCCACTGCCCCCCCAGCACCCATTGCCCCCCCATAGCACCCACTGACCCCCATAAAAACCCATTGAACCCCATAGCACCCACTGCCCCCCCATAGCACCCACTGCCCCCCCCAGCACCCACTGCCCCCCCATAGCACCCACTGCCCCCCCCAGCACCCACTGCCCCCCCATAGCACCCATTGACCCCCCCAGCACCCACTGCCCCCCCCATAGCACCCACTGCCCCCCATAGCACCCATTGACCCCCTTAGCACCCATTGCCCCCCCCCCCCGCACCTTTGGGTGCCCCCCCCGCCTCCTCTTCTCCTTTTTGCCCATTTTCCTCCTTTTTCTCCTCTTTTTTCTCCTCTTTTTTCTCTTTTTCCTCTTTTGGCTCCTTTTTCACCTCTTTTTTCTCCACCTTTTTCTCCTTCTTGGCAACTGCGGGGGGGGGGGGGGGAACAGCAAAAGTGACCCCCGCCCTGCAATGACCCCCCCAGAACCCCAAAACCACCTTAATCCACCCCAAAACCCCCTTAAACTCCCCAAATCCCCTTAAAGCACCCCAAAAGCTCCTTACCCCCGCCAAACCCCCTTAAACCCCACTAAAATCACCCCAAAACCCCTTAAATCCCAATAAAATCACCCCAAAACTCCTTAAACCCCATTAAAATCACCCCAAACTCCCTTAAATCCCATTAAAATCACCCCAAACCCCCTTAAATCCCATTAAAATCACCCCAAAACCCCCTTAAATCCCATTAAAATCACCCCAAACCCCCTTAAATCCCATTAAAATCACCCCAAACCCCCTTAAACCCCATTAAAATCACCCCAAAACCCCCTTAAATCCCATTAAAATCACCCCAAAACCCCCTTTAATCCCATTAAAATCACCCCAAAACCCCCTTAAATCCCATTAAAATCACCCCAAACCCCCTTAAACCCCATTAAAATCACCCCAAACCCCCTTAAATCCCCTGAATCCACTCCAAAACCCCCTTAATCCCCCCCAAAACCCCCTTAAATTCCCCAAACCCCCTTAAAGCACCCCAAAAGCTCCTTAACCCTGCCAAACCCCCTTAAACCCCATTAAAACCACCCCAAAACCCCCTAAACCACCTTAAAACACCCAAAACCCCTCTTAATCCACCCCAAACCCCTTTAAATCCCATTAAAACAAGCCCAAAACCCCGGTAAAACCCTTCAAAACCCCCTTAAACTCCCCAAATCCCTTTAAACCACCCCAAAATCTTAACAACCCCAAAACCCCCTTAAAACACCCCAAAATCCCCTTAAATCCAATTAAAACCACCCCAAAACCCCGTTAAAACACCCCAGAACCCCCTTAAACTCCCCCAATCCCCTTAAACCACCCCAAAACCCCCTTAAAACACAAAAAAAACCTCCTTAAATCACCCCAAAACCCCCTTAAATCACCCCAAAACCCCCTTAAAACACCCCAAAACCTCCTTATATCCCGTTAAACCACCCCAAACCCCCCTAAACTACCTGAAAACACCCAAAACCCTCTTAATCCACCCCAAAACGCCCTTAAATTACCCCAAAACCCCTTAAATCTCATTAATCCACCCCAAAACCCCCTTAAATCACCACAAAACCCCTTAAATCTCATTAATCCACCCCAAAACCCCCTTAAATCACCCCCAAAACCTCCTTAAATCCCGTTAAACTACCCCAAAACCCTCTTAATCCACCCCAAAACCCCCTTAAATCCCATTAAAACCACCCCAAAACCCCCTTAAATCACCCCAAAACCCCCTTAAATCTGTTAAACCACCCCAAAACCCCCTTAAAACACCCAAAAACCCCCTTAAATCCCATTAAACCACCCCAAACACCCCAAACCCCTTAAACCCCCAAAACCACCCCAAAACCCCCTTAAATCACCCCAAAACCCCTTAAATCCCATTAAAACCACCCTAAAACCCCCTTAAATCACCCCAAAACCCCCTTAAATCCCATTAAAACCACCCCAAAATCCCCTTAAACCACCCCAAAACCCCTTAAATCCCATTAAACCACCCCAAACCCCCCTAAACCACCTTAAAACACCCAAAACCCTCTAAATCCACCCCAAAACCCCCTTAAATCCCCTTAAAACCACTCCAAAACCCCCTTAAACCACCCCAAAACCAGTGCGCCCCTCCCCCCCCAGCCCCATATAAGGCCTGCCTTAAACCTGACCCCTTCCAAAAGGTCACGGGGAGGGGGGAGGGGCGGGGTTACCCTAGGCCAACCCCTCCCCCCCCACCCCTCCCCCCCCCTTGGGTGCCCTTTGGGGTGTCTCAAGTGACACCCATGGGGGGGGGGAGGGGGCTGATACTCATACCCGCCCCCCCCCCCCCCCTCCCCCTCTCCCCCCCCCCCCATATGACACCGTGTCCCCCCCCCCCCAATTTACCCCCCCCGGGGTAATTAATTACCCCCCTATGGGGCAATCCCCCCCCAATTACCCCCCCCATATCTAATTGCCCCCCCTTAATACCCCCCCGGGGTAATTAATTAATTAATCCTCCCTATTAATTAATTACACCCCCGCCTTTAATTGCCCCCCACATTGTAATTACCCCCCCTTAATTGCCCCCCTACTTGGGGGCTAATTGCCCCCCCATTGTAATTACCCCCCCCATTAATTGCCCCCCCCCTTAATTGCCCCCCTACTTGGGGGCTAATTGCCCCCCCCCCCCAATCAGTACCCCCCCGGGGGGTAATTACCCCCCCCCTCGGGCTAATTGCCCCTACCAATAAATGACCCCCCCCCATAATAATTGCCCCCCCCGGGGTAATTAATGACCCCCCTTAATTAATGACCCCGTAATTAATTAATTACCCCCTAATTAATTAATTACCCCCCCCACCTTTGCTGGGCTCAGGCATGGCGGCGGCTCAGGGCTCACAAGTGCCCCGGGGGGGGCTGCGGCCCCTTTAAATACCCCCCCCCCCCCCCCGACACCCCCCCCCCCCTTGGCCACGCCCTCCCTTAATCCTCCCCCCTCCCCCCCCATTGGAAAGGGGGACTCGGAAAGAGGGGGGGGAGGGGGGGGTCAAAAGTGGGGACCCCCCCCCATGGGGACCCCCTCAAATGTGGGGGGGGCACCCCCAAAATGGGGTGGGGGAGGGGAACCGGATCCATTCCCTCCCCCCCCCCTCCCCCTCCCCCCCCCATGGGACATTCCTGATCCCTCCCCTCCCCCCACCCTGGAACATTCCAACCCCCCCCATGGATATGGGGGGGGGTGGGGGGTCACAACCGCCCCATAGGCCCCATTGTTTTCCCCCCCCCCCCAAATTAAGGGGTTCAAGGACCTCAGTGCCCCCCCCCCCTTTTGTGTGTGCATCCCCCCCCCCCATTTGTGGTGTCACCCCCCCTCCCCCCCCCCATTTATGTTGCCCCTCCCCCCCCCTCCAGACAGCCTCATTGATTGGCTAAAGGCCTTTATGAGCATTTTTGGGGGGGGGGGAGGGGTACATTGCAAATAGGGGGGGGGAAGGGGGGGGGAGTCAATGTGGGGGGGGGGGGTGTCAATGATGGAGGGGGGGGGAGGAGCTCCAAGATCCATGCTAATGACTCAAACCAAATATGGGCAGGGGTGGGCGGGGCTTAAACACCCACCCCCCCAATGGGGGGGGGGGGGCGGAGCTTAAGCACCCCTATACATGGGGTGGTGGAGCTTAAACCCCCCCCATATGGGGGGGGGCAAAGCTTAAACCCCTCTATATGGGGGGGGCAAAGCTTAAGCCCCCCCTATATACATGGGGGGCGGAGCTTAACCCCCTTTATATATATATGGGGGGGGGGGGGGCAAAGCTTAACCCCCCACACCCCCATAGATGGGGGGCAGAGCTTAACCCCCTTTATATATATATATGGGGGGGGCAAAGCTTGACCCCCCACACCCCCATAGATGTGGGGCAGAGCTTAACCCCCTTTATATATATATATGGGGGGGGGCAAAGCTTAACACCCCCCATATGGGGGGCGGAGCTTAACCCCCTTTATATATATATATGGGGGGGGGGCAAAGATTAACACGCCACCCCATATGGGGGGCGGAGCTTAACCCCCCCCATATATGGGGGGCAGAGCTTCCCCCCCCCCCCAACCTCACAGTGGGGGCATAGGGAGGGGGCCTTTGCTATCCATGCCCCCCCCCATTTCCTTGGGGGGAGTGGCTGTGGCCGTGCCCCCCATGCTGGTGGGGGTGGTGTTGGGGAGGGTGTTGATGGTGGGGGTGGGGGTGATGGTGGGGGGGGGGGGGCATCATTTCCTCCCCACATCCCCCCCCCCCAGCCCCAGCCCCACGCCGGTTCCTCCGTCGGAAGTACTTGTAGCGTTGCACATAGGCCCGCACCAAGTTGTTGACCTTGACTGGGTTGATCTCCCCACTGCGGCTATGGCAGATCTATGGGGCAGGGATATAGGGGGCCATCAATGGGGTGTGGATGGGGCTCATCAATGGGTCCCTTGCTCCCCATAGAAACCCCCCTACTCTTATGGTACCTTATGGACGGCCTTGCGTAGGATGTCCTTGTACTCGTCCTTGGTGATGTCCTTCTTTTGGTAGTAGGGCTTGATGGCCAACTTGACCTCTTCCACCGCCCGCTCCTGCGTGTGCAGCTTCTTCAGGTACTGGGTGGGGGGCACAATGTGGGGCTCAGGACCCATAGGGACCCATAGGGACCCATAGGGAGCCAGCCCCGGACCCATAGCGATGGGTGCGGATGCAACTCAAGGGCATGGAGATGGAAGGGGGGAAAGGGAAGGGTCAGGCAAGGCCAAGAGCACTGGGGGGGGGGTTCTTGGAGGGGTGGGTGGCACCCATTGGCACCCACTGTCACCATTGGCACCTATTAGCACCCACTGTCAACTACTGGCAGTCATTGGCAGCTATTGGCACCCACTATCACCATTGGCACCCATTGGCACTCATTGCCACCTACTGGCACCCATTGGCACTCACTGCCACCAATTGGCACCCATTGCCACCTATTGGCACCCACTATCATCACTGGCACCCATTACCACCCATTGGCACCCATTGGCACCCACTGTCACCATTGGCACCTATTAGCACCCACTGTCAACTACTGGCAGTCATTGGCAGCTATTGGCACCCACTATCACCATTGGCACCCATTGGCACCCACTGCCACCTACTGGCACCCATTGGCACCCACTATCATCACTGGCACCCATTACCACTCATTGGCACCCACTGTCACCATTGGCACCTATTAGCACCCACTGTCACCTACTGGCAGCCATTGCCACCTACTGGCACCCACTATCACCACTGGCACCTACTGTCACCATTGGCACTCACTGCTACCAATTGGCACCCATTGGCACCCACTGTCCCCACTGCCACTATTGGCACCCACTGCCACCTACTGGCACCCCCTATCATCACTGGCACCCATTACCACCTATTGGCACCCACTATCATCACTGGCACCCATTACCACCTATTGGCACCCACTATCATCACTGGCACCCATTACCACTCATTGGCACCCATTGGCACCCACTGTCACCATTGGCACCTATTAGCACCCACAGTCACCTACTGGCAGTCATTGCCAGCTATTGGCACCCACTATCACCACTGGCACCCATTGGCACTCATTGCCACCAATTGGCACCCATTGGCACCTATTGGCACCCACTATCACCATTGGCACCCATTGGCACTCATTGCCACCAATTGGCACCCATTGGCACCCACTACCACCATTGGCACTCATTGCCACCTATTGGCACCCACTATCATCACTGGCACCCATTACCACTCATTGGCACCCATTGGCACTCACTGCCACCAATTGGCACCCATTGCCACCTATTGGCACCCACTATCATCACTGGCACCCATAACCACTCATTGGCACCCATTGGACCCCACTGTCACCATTGGCACCTATTAGCACCCACTGTCGCCTACTGGCAGCCATTGTCACCTCTTGGCACCCACTATCACCACTGTCACCCACTGTCACCCATTACCACCATCACCCATTAGCACCCATTACCACCCATTGTCACCCATTAGGACCCACTGTCACCCATTACCACCCATTGTCACCCATTACCACCCACTGTCACCCATTGTCACCCATTACCACCCATTGTCACCCGTTACCACCCACTGTCACCCACTGTCACCCACTGTCACCCATTGGGAACATCCATGGGGAGGTTGGGGGGTGTTGATAAGGGGGGGGGGCAGGGGGTCGCACCACCATGGGGTGTCCTTGGCATCGAGGTCCCTATCACAACATGGCCACACCCCACATCCCATACCCCATATCCTGTACCCCACACCCCACATCCCATACCCCATATCCCGTACCCCATATCCCATACCCATACATCCCATATCCCATACCCCACATCCCATACCCCGTACCCCATATATCCCATACCCCATATCCCATATCCCATACCCCACACCCCATATCCCATATCCCATGCATCCCATACCCCACACATCCCATACCCCATATCCCATACCCCATACATCCCATATATCCCATATCCCATATCCTATACCCCATACATCTCATACCCCAAATCCCATATATCCCATACCCCATATCCCATACCCCATGCCCATATCCCATATATCTCATACCCCATACCCCATATACCATATTCATATCCCATATCCATATTCACATCCCATACATCCCATACCCCATATCCATACCCTATACCCACACCCCATATCCCATACCCCATATATCCCATACCCTACACCCCATATCCCATAGCCCATATCCCATATCCCATACCCCATATCCCATACCCCATATACCCCACACCCCATATCCCATACCCCATATACCATATCCACACTCCATACCCCATACCCATACATCTCACACCCCATACCCCACACCCCATATCCCATACCCATATATCTCACACCCCATATCCCATACCCACACCCCACACCCCATATCCCATACCCATATATCTCACACCCCACACCCCATATCCCATACCCATATATCTCACACCCCATATCCCATACCCCACACCCCATACCCCATATCCCATATCCGATATCCCATATCCTATCCCACATATCCCCTACCTCACACCCCACACCCCATATCCCATACCCACACCCCACACCCCATATCCCATACCCATATATCTCACACCCCATATCCCACACCCCATATCCCATACCCACACCCCACACCCCATATCCCATACCCATACATCTCCCACCCCATACCCACCCCCCAGGTCCCCACTCACCTTCTCACTGTCCCCTCTCCCATCTCCATTGTCCCTCCTCCCGTCCCCTCCAGCCCCTGCCCCATAGATGGGGGGCACCGCAGCCCCCCCCCCCGTTACCCCCCCCATTGCTGGGGGGGCTCCGGGTATGGGGGGCCCCCCCCCCAAGTAAGGGGGAGCCACGGGGGGGGCTGTGGGGGGGGCGGCTGTGGGCGGGGCCTGGGGGGGGCCCAGAGGGGGCGGAGCCTTCGTCTGGCTCAGGATCTATGGGGGGAGGAAGAGTTAAAGGGGGTCCGAGGGGGGCAAAGGGCACCCCATGGGGGGAGCACAGGGGTCCCCCCCCCATAGGGCCCCCATCCCCTTTTGGGGTACCCCTGTCCCCCCCCCCCCCGCATTGTGCCCCCATCCCTTCTTAGGGGTACCCCTATCCCCCCCCCCATTGTGTCCCTGTCCCCCCCCACCCCATAGGGACCCCATCCCCTTTTGGGGTACCCCTGTCCCCCCCCCCCCCCCCCATTGTGCCCCCATCCCTTCTTCGGGGTACCCCTATCCCCCCCCCCATTGTGTCCCTGTCCCCCCCCACCCCATAGGGCCCCCATCCCCTTTTGGGGTACCCCTGTCCCCCCCCCCCCCCATTGTGTTCCCATCCCCTCCTGGGTATCCCCATCCCTTCTTGGGGTACCCCTGCCTCCCCCCCCCCCTTGTACCCCTATATCCCCCCACTGTACCCCTATATCCCCCCCATTGTATCCATGTCCCCCCCCATTGTGCCCTCATCCCTTTGGGGGTGCCCACATCCTCTTTTGGGGTACCCCTGTCCCACCCCCCCATTGTACCCCTATATCCCCCCCATTGTATCCATGTCCCCCCCCCATTGTGCCCCCATACCTTTGGGGGTGCCCCCATCCCTTTTGGGGTACCCCCCCCATTGTACCCCTATATCCCATTGTACCCCTATATCCCCCCCATTGTATCCATGTCCCCCCCCCAATTGTGCCCCCATCCCTTTGGGGTACCCCTATCCCCCCCATTGTACCCCTTTATCCCCCCATTGTATCCATGTCCCCCCCCATTGTGCCCCATCCCTTTGGGGGTGCCCCCATCCCTTTTGGGGTACCCCCCCCATTGTACCCCTATATCCCATTGAGTTCCTATGCCCCCCCCCCATATCCCTGTCCCTTTGAGGGTGTCCCCATCCCTTTAGGGGTACCCCTATCCCCCCCCCACTGAATTCCTGTCCCTTTTGGGGTGCCCCCATCCATTTTGGGGTACCCCCCCATTGTACCCCTATATCCCATTGTGTTCCTATGCCCCCCCCCCCATATCCCTGTCCCTTTGAGGGTGTCCCCATCCCTTTAGGGGTACCCCTATCCCCCCCCCACTGAATTCCTGTCCCTTTTGGGGTGCCCCCATCCCTTTTGGGGTACCCCCCCCATTGTACCCCTATATCCCATTGCGCTCCTATGCCCCCCCACCATATCCCTGTCCCTTTTGGGGTGCCCCCATCCATTTTGGGGTGCCCCCATCCCTTTTGGGGTGCCCCCCCCCCCCAAACCTGGTTCGTGGCCTGGATGAGCTCCTGTGCCTTGGCCCTGCTGGCCAGGTTGGCCTCTTCCATCTTGAAGAGCAGCGCGGTCACTGCAAGGGGGGGGCACCCCATTAACCCCAATGGGTGCTGGGGGGGCACCCCATTACCCCCAATGGGTGTTGGTTGGGGGGGGCACCCCATTAACCCCAATGGGTGCTGGGGGGGGGGGCACCCCATTAACCCCAATGGGTGCTGGGGGGGACCCAATTACACCCAATGGGTGCTGGGGGGGGGCATCCCATTACACCCAATGGGTGCTGGTTGGGGGGGGCACCCCATTACCCCCAATGGGTGCTGGTTGGGACACTCCATTACCCCCAATGGGTGCTGGTTGGGGGGGGCACCCCATTACCCCCAATGAGTGCTGGGGGGGGGTTCACCCCATTACCCCCAATGAGCCGACACCCAATGGGTGCTGGTGATCACCCCATTACCCCCAGTGAGCTGACACCCAATGGGTGCTGGTGATCACCCCATTACCCCCAATGACCTGACACCCAATGGGTGCTGATGATCACCCCATTACCCCCAATGACCTGACACCCAATGGGTGCTGGTGATCACCCCATTACTCCCAGTGAGCTGACACCCAATGGGTGCTGGTGATCACCCAACTACCCCCAACGAGCCGACACCCAATGGGTGCTGGTGATCCCCCCATTACCCCCAATGGGTGCTGGTTGGAGGGTGGGTTCATCCCATTACCCCCAATGACCTGACACCCAATGGGTGCTGATGATCACCCCATTACCCCCAATGACCTGACACCCAATGGGTGCTGGTTGGAGGGTGAGTTCATCCCATTACCCCCAATGACCTGACACCCAATGGGTGCTGCTGATCACCCAACTACCCCCAACGAGCCAACACCCAATGGGTGCTGGTGATCACCCAACTACCCCCAATGAGCCGACACCCAATGGGTGCTGCTGATCACCCCATTACCCCCAATGGGTGCTGGTTGGAGGGTGGGGTCATCCCATTACCCCCAATGAGCCGACACCCAACTACCCCCAATGAGCCGACACCCAACGGGTGCTGGTGATCACCCCATTACCCCCAGTGACCTGACACCCAATGGGTGCTGGTTGGAGGGCGGGTTCATCCCATTACCCCCAATGACCTGACACCCAATGGGTGCTGGTGATCATCCAACTACCCCCAACGAGCCAACACCCAATGGGTGCTGGTGATCACCCCATTACCCCCAACGAGCCGACACCCAACGGGTGCTGGTGATCACCCCATTACCCCCAACGAGCCGACACCCAACGGGTGCTGGTGATCACCCCATTACCCCCAATGGGTGCTGGTTGGAGGATGGGTTCATCCCATTACCCCCAATGAGCCGACACCCAACTACCCCCAACGAGCCGACACCCAATGGGTGCTGGTGATCCCCCCATTACCCCCAACGGGTGCCACGATGGGGGGGTCCCCAACCCAATCCCAACCCCCCCAATGCCACCTACGTGCCAACACGCCGCTGGTGGCACAATCCACCCCCCCTTGGAGGCTCCACGGCACCGGCGCCATCGCCCGCGGCGCTTCCTCCTTGCCCTCGCAGCGGCTGTCGGCTTCGGGATCGCTGCGCCCCTGCTCCGTGGCCACGGAAGCCCCGTTGCCGGCGGTGGGAAGAGGGGGGGTCGGGGGGTGCCCGTCCCCTCCCCCACCTCCTCCTCCTCCTCCTCCTCCTCCTCCTCCTTCTTCTGGTAGGAAGGAGACATCGGGGGTCTTACAACTGCTATCGACCGTCTGCGAGTCCGGCGTCACCTCCGGCTCCGGCGCGGCCGCCGCCGGCACCGCCGAGCCCTTGCTTTGGTGGTGGTGATGGTGATGGTGATGGTGGTGGTGATGGTGATGGGAAGCCGGGGGGGTACCCCCAACGCTGGCGACGGGGCTGGGGGGAGGTTTGGGGCTGGCCCCCCCCGATTTATCGGAGCCCGACCAAGGCGATTCCCGCTTGGAAGGCAAACGGAGCGCGGCGCCGGCGCCGCCTTGGCTGCAGCTGTCGGCTTTGGACTTCTTGAGGGCTCCTTTGGGGGCTTTGGGCTTCTTCTTCTTCCTGGCGTCGCCCGTGCCGGACCCAACGCTGGTTTTGGCTTTGCCGCCGGCGCCTTTGGGCTTCTTGAGGCCGCTTTTGGCCTTGGCGCCTTTGGGTTTCTTGCCTTTGGCGCCGGGCTCTTTAGGCAGGTTGCTTTTGGCCACGCCGACTTTGCCATCGGGCGCCGGGCGCTCGCCGCCTCCCTTCAGGAAAGGCGCCCGGCTCTCGGCGTCGCGGCTGAACTTGACGCCGATGGAGCCGGCGCCGCTCTCCTTGGGCACCGTGGTGGAGGTGACGCCGTCGCGGATGAGCACCGACACCTTGGACTGGAGCTTCACCTTGCGGGCGGCGCTGCCGCCGCCGCCGTCCCGGTGGTGCCCGTCCCGTTTGCTCTTGCGGCTCTTGTCGCGCTCGCCGCGCGGCGCCTTCTCCTTCTCGCCCTTGCCGGCGTCGGCACTCGGATGCTCCTTGAGCTTCTTCTTGTGCTTCTCCCGGCTCGCCGGCTCTTGGGACCGGCTCCGCTTCCGCTCCTTGTCCTTCTTACCGGCGCCGTCGCCTTTGCCGAGCCGCGGCGGTGGCGGCGGTGGTGGTGGTGGCGGTGGTTGCACCGCCGCCGCCGCCGCTTCCGGAGGCTCCCGGTCGGAAGAAGCCCCCTCGAAGCTCAACCCTTCGGAATCGTAGAGCACTTCCCTCTTGGCGGGCTCCGGCGGCGTGCCGGGCCTCCGGCTCACCGTGATGGTGCGTTTGATGGCGAAGAGGTCGGAGTCGTTGAGCTCCTGGATGGAAGGCGGCACCACCGGGCGCGCTTCCCGGCGCCCGCCGCTCTTCTCCCCCTTGGCATCCGGCGCTTCCCGCCGGGACGAGCGGCGTTCCCGGGAGCGGGCACGGGGTTCTTGCTGCGGTTGCTGTTGTTGCTTCTTCTTCTTCTTGCCGCCGTCGCCGCGGTGCTTGTCCTTGTGGCGGCCGTGGCGTTGGGCGCTGCCCGAGCGCCGGCGCCGGCGTTTGTCCCGTGAGCGCGAACGCCGCCCTCGGGACCACGAGCGGCGCCGCGAGCGCGAGCGGGAGCCGCGGTGCCGGTGCCGATCCTTGCTTTTACCCGCCGGCTCCGGGCCTTTCTTCCCGGCCCAGCCTATGGAAGAAGAACCGCGTTCCCGAGAGCGTTTTGGCTTCTTCCGGGACGCCGCCGACGGCGATCGGGGCGAAGGGGGCCCGCGGAGGCGGCGCTGGCTCAGGATCTTGCGGCGTAAATCGGAGCCGGGGCTTTTCCAGCGCGGATCCGGTTGGTTCTCGGCGCCGAAGTCGCCTTCCTCATCGGAATCGGCGTGCAGCGAGAGGAAATCGTCGCCTTCGGGCCCCCGCGGCGCCCGCGGCTCCGGCGGCGCCCGGCCGCGGATGGAAGAGGCGGTGCCGGTGCCGCCGGCGCCGCCACCGGTGATTCCCGAGCTCCGGAATAACCGCAGCGGGCTGTTGTAACGCTCGTCCTCGTGCGGGACGATCTCGCCTTCCTCAATCTCGGAATCGCCGGCGCTCGGAGCCCAGTCGCGCCGGGCCCGGTGCCGTTTGGCCCCTCGGGATGCGGTGCCCGGTACCGGGGCTTTGGTGTTCCCGGCGGCCACCACTTCCAGGGATAACTTCCCTTCCAGCTTCCCGTCGCATTCCGGGTGCTTCTTCCCGGCTAAATCCACCACGAAGACGCGGCGCCGCGGTTCCGGCACGGTGCCGGATACCAGCGCCGCCGTTTCCTCGTCTTCTTCTTCTTCTTCTTCCTCTTCTTCTTCTTCTTCTTCTTCCTCTTCTTCTTCTTCCTCTTCCGGAAGGGTGGAATCGGCGCCGGGAGGGATTTGGGATGGGGGAGGCTCCGGATCGGCCTCCGGTTCCTTCTCAAAGTCCTGGCTCAAGCTGTTGTCATCGTAGATGCCGGCCAAGGTCTCGGAGATGCGGCTGATGCTGTGGGATACATCGGGCCGGGGTCGCTCTTCCTCGTCCTCCTCTTCCTCTTCTTCTTCCTCTTCCTCCTCCTCCTCTTCCTCTTCCTCCTCCTCGTCCTCTTCCTCCTCCTCGTCTTCCTCCTCCTCCTCCTCCTCCTCCGGGCTGGGGCTGCTGCGGGAGGAGCTGGGGTTGGAGCCGGTGGGATCGAAGGGGTCGTACTTCTGGTCCTGGCGCCCTTCAGCCTCTTTGGGCGGCGAGGAAGAGGAGGCTCCGTAGGGAAAGGCGGCGGCGGCGACGGCGGCGGGAGCAGGGGGGGCAGGAGGAGGAGGAGGAGGAGGAGGGGGGGGCGGGGGGGGGTTCTCCTCATCCGTGGGGTGGAAAGGGTCATAAATATCCAAGGTTGGGGAATGGGGCCGGAACACGGCCGGGGGGGGGGCGCCGCCGGACGAGGAGGAAGAGGAGGAAGAGGAGGACGAGGAAGATGAGGAGGAAGAGCGGGAAGAGGAAGAGGAATCGGGGGGGTGGCTCCGGGCCGGCTCCTGCCGTGGGGCTGGGGGGGGAGGGTTTGGGGGGGGTGGCCCCGCCCCCCCCGCCGCCCCCCCTCCCCCTCCTCCCGGGGCTGCCACTCGGGCCCCTCCCCCCGCTGCCCGCGCACGTCGGGGGCGGGGGGGGGCGGGGGGGGTTTGGGAGGGGGTGGGGGGAGGGGGTTGAAGGGGGGGGGGTGCGGCGGGGGCGGGGAGGGGGGAAAGGGGAGGGGGGTGGGGGGAGGATGAGAGGAGGGAGCCGGGGGGGGGCACGGGGGGGGGCACGGGGGGGCCCCCCCAGGGATGCGCCAGCGGCGAGAGGAGGAGCCGGGGAGGTGGCCTGGGGGGGGGGGGGGGGAAGGGGAATGGGGGTCAGGGGGGGCGCAGCGCCCACACCAGGACCCCCCAGTGTCCCCCCATTGCCCCCATTACACCCCATAACCACCTTCCCCCGGTGCCCTATGACATTGCTCCCATTGCCCCCCATTGGCCCCTATTACCCCCATTGCCCCCATTGGTCCCCGTTACCCCCCATTGCCCTATCAACCCCATCACCCCCATTGTCCCATTCCCCCCATTACCTCAACTGCCCCCATTCCCCCCATTGCCCCATTTCCCCATTCCCATTACCCCATTACCCCTATTAGCCCATTACCATCACCCCCATTACCCCATCCCCATTTCTCCCATTGCCCCCATTACCACCATTGTCACCATTCCCATTCCCCCATTCCCATCGCCCCCATTCCCATTGCCCCCCATTCCCCCATCACTCCCATTCCCATTATCCCCATTACCC